CCCCCCCCCCCCCCACCCTTGCCCACTGGCAATTGTTGGTGGCATTGCTGGGATGCCCCACAATCCAAGGTGGACAGGGAGATCCTGGGGTGATGTCCCAAGCCAGGAATGGGCATTGCACCCTAGTGGGACCCCTCAGAGCTGTTCCCTAGGGAAAGAGATGCAGAGGGGAGAGCAAACTTACCATGGTGAGAGTCAGCGGGTGGAATGAGTGGTACTGCGGGCAGGATGACCTTGCAACTTTCTTGGGGAGTTCTTCATCTTATCTGGACAGTACGGAACTAAACAGTGACTGCTTCTTTCACTGGTTTACTTTCAGGACAGACACCTGCAGCCAGTGGGTGTCTCTGGCTCTAATGATGCTCCATAACAACAGGGGGTGCAGAGAGCAGCCAGGCAGTGCAATGACCCAAACTAAGACAACAATGGAGATGCTGACAGCTCTCACTGAGTCCTGCCTGTGCTGTTGAGGCCAGGGAGTGGAGCAGCAGGCAGGATCCACCATGGCATCAAACAGTCCAGATAGACTGCCACATGGGAACTGTGCCAGCCCTTCCCAGGCAAACACCAATACCCTGCTGGAGACCACAGCATAGAACCTCTCCCTCACACAGGATTATGGCAGCTGTCGAGAGAGCAAGGACCTCCACCCACTCTGAGATCCTAGCTTCTGGTGACAGCAGTAATGTTGCTGGGTAGGTAAAAGAGTGGTTTCAAGCCTGCCAGGGAACAGGACTTCACAATGCCCGTGATCACAGGTCTACCTGTGGGTAGTCAGTGAAAGGGTGCTGCTGTGGTGCACCGGGAAGATCTTTGCCTGGGCTGGTGCACAGGGACACATGCATTGTTTTTTTTCTACATGCATCGTCTTGAGGATTGTGAAGTTTTCTGCTGTGTTCTGTTGAATTCTTCTTACTAAATAGACACTACATTTAAATGAGACCAGCGATTTCCCTTACTTGTATAGGCAGGAACCAAGAAGAAAAAAAAACAAAACCAAACCAAAAACCTTTCTAGGTTGTTTCTTCAGTTATTTTCTTCCCTTCCCAACTCCCCCCCACAAACAAATACATCTGCTCTGCTCATGGGACCCTAAAGACATCCCCACTCAGGCCAATTCCTGCAACACTATGGAGGGAAAGAAACCTCTTGTTATTTATGATCTTGGGGCATCCATCAGGTTCCACTCCAAACAGTACACAGCCTACTCCATTGCCACCGCTCCCATCCCATCTCCACCAATGACCCCTGCCCTCCCAACCTTCCACCGTGTACGCTGGAAGTGACCATGGGAGAGTTCAAATTAGGTTTGCAGAGTTTAATAGGATGCATGTAAACAGGAAAAAGGAATGAGCGGGAGGGCCACATGCCCAGCTTCCACCACAATATCGGACATCCTCTCCTCGCTCCGTTATGTCAGAGATATAGGAGTTCTGAACACCTGGCATCGTGCGCCTTTACCCAACCAGCCAGCACTGACATTCGTGAAATGCCTGCAGTGGCCTAACACTGCCTGCATCAATATGGAGTCCTGTGGGTTCATGAAATTCCAGCCACATTGCTCAGGGAAAAACATGATGATGTGGGTGCTGTCAATAGCCTCAATGCAGTTCAGGAACCCCGGGCTGGCCAAACAGTCCATGATATCCCATAGGTCAGCCATGTGTATAATCCGTGGTGCCATCAGCCACTGGATTGCCAGGCACACCTCCTGCACCAATTCACCTGCTATGGGTGTGCCAAATCCAAACCGACTGGCCATCAAACAGATTGGCAGAGGTAGCAAGCTTCCACACTGCAATCACAACCCACTTTTTTGGGGTTATGGGCCAGCTCAGCGCAGATCTCCACGAAGGTAGGCTGGGACATGAGGAGGTTCAGCTGCCACTTCTCACTGACCCAGGTGATCAGAATGAACCGCTCCTACCAGTAGCTGGTCATCTCCCTGGTCCAAAACTGCCTCTCCATTCTTTTGTGAGGCTCCCACACTACACTGTACTGTCCCCAACCATGACAGTCTCCCACATAAAACATCCATCCTCGTTCATTTTGCAGATGGCCAAAGCCAAGTCACCCTGCTTGAGCTGCTGCTGACCCCTTCAACTCATAACCCTGAGCACAAGCTCTTGACACCGAGTGATCAAGGTCTGCAGGGCAAGGATCATGTAAAGGCTCATTTGGTGGTAGCAGTGTGGGGTACTAGGGGGGCAGTGGTAGCATAAGAACAGGTAGGTAGTCCTGTCTGGTCACTCCCAGCCACTTCCACCCAACTGACCGTGCAACGGGTACTTTCCGTTGCATTGGGGAATGCCCAGGAGCCTGTGGACCCTAGACAACAATAAGGCATGCTGGGATGTGTGTTCTCACTGGCCACCTACTGGCAGAGAAGCAACAATGCAATGGAGCAACTCTTGGAAAGGGGAGTCTCAGTCGCACCACTCTGACAAAGCTTCTTTGAACCAGGGAAACAAAGGTACAACCAGCCTGCAACCAATGCAACATCTGTTAGATGCCTATGAAACCAACAAGACTGAACAAGAAGGGAGAGGGTTAAAACAAGGATGCTTCTTCATCGCTGCTACTTCCTGTGGAACTTGCATCATCTGTATCGCTGTTCTCCACATCACAATCTTCACTGCCATCCAGATCATTTGAAATGCAGCACTTCTTAAAACTTTTAATTATTAAGTCCTCCGAGATAAGACTCCACGCATCCTTGATCCACTCACACAGCTGCAGTATTCCTGGCCGCTTGATTTTCCTGGCTGATGCCAAGGTGTGGTTACTGCTTGCTATCCATTCTGCACATAGACGTTTCAAGTTTGCTTTGAAAGGATGATTTATGCAGACATCTAGCGGCTGAAGCATGGATGTCAGGCCTCCCGGTATTGCGATCTGGTCTGTGTTTCCGCCTTTCAGCTGTTTCGTCACTTCCCCTGTACAGCGTCCCTGAAAACTACCCAATACGAGCATGCTTTTTAATTTCAGAAGAGCACCGGGTCGGCATTCCCACACGCACCTAACCCAGTCCACCAGTAACGTGCTGTCCATCCACCCATTTTCTTGCGCCCTCACAATTATCCCTTCTGGCAACTTTTCTTTAGGGAGAGTTTTCCTTTTAAAAAAAATCACATAGGCAGGCAGCTTCGTTCCATCTGCAAGTACTGCCAACATAACAGTACAATGCAGCTTTTCGAACCTGCTTGGTTTTAAGTGAACAGTTTTTGTGCCACTGTCATTTACCGTGGTATCAGACAGCATTTCAAAATAGACTTCTGTTTGATCCGCACTCCCCATTTGTGACACTAAGTACGAATGCTGCTTCCGCAGGCTGATCACATATCGTTGAAAAGCTGTCAACTTTTCCTCATATGCCTCAGGTAGACGCTGTGAAATTGTTGGGTGCCTTCCTATTGAAAGTCCATTTCTTTTAAAAAATCTCTGTATCCAACCCCTGCTTGCTTTGAATTGAAGACCTAAGCCAAGTTCCCTTGCAATTTCATGTGCTTTTCTCTGGTACATTTCTAATGACATCACATACCCATACTGCTGTCTCTCTCGCACATAAGCTACAAGAAGTTCTTCAAGTTCTGGGTATTTTGCTCCTGGGCCACGAAATGCTCGTCTGTTGCCATTGCTTAAAAGCAGTTTCTCTTTCTTCTTCCTCCAGTCTCTTATACATGCTTCGTTGATGTCGTACTTCCTTCCAGCAGCACGGTTTCCAATTTCCTCGGCTTCCCTCAGCACTTGAAGTTTTTCACTGGCAGTGAAAGAACGTAACCGCCTTGTTCCACCCATGATGGCACGAGATGGCATACGTGATGACGTCAGGTCACCTATCGATACGCCGAAACATACTTTTAACCAAATTCCCTCATTTAAGACACGTGCCCCAATTTTCGATCATTAACTTTCAAGAAAAAGGTGCATATGGTACGTGAATAAAGACGGTGTTTATTTTTTAATACACAGGTCCAAGTTAGGTTTTATACCATGGGATCAACAGCAAAATCTAGGAAACATCCTAAACCATGGAATTTGTAGTTTCCAGTCTCCAGCTTTGGACTGTGTCAAGCCATAAAATCAAAGTGATTGCCATTAGCTTATGGTCCAACTTGTTGTTGAGTTTCCTGACGTTTAAAAAGAAAGTAGGTATGAGGCCAAACTCTATTCCCTCCCCATTACTCATATCAAGTAGCATCTTTCATTGCCAGTAGCCCCTGGGTTTTCAAGCCCTTAGAGGAATTTGATTTGATGAACAGACATTTGATCTGAATGCCACAAAAAGGTGGCAAGAAAGGAACCATACCTGGCCCCTAGCTCGGAAGTGACACAATTGTGAGCTCTATAGTCAATGGGCAATAAAGAGCTGCCCCATGATTCTCCCTGTGCCCAGAGGAGCCCAAAAAACTGACAGCCTGCCCTCTCCCTTGCTGGGGAAGGTAACAGACTCTAAGATCAGCTGACATGCTGAAAAACAGAAGTAGCCAAGGAGATCCCCCAGGGAGACAAGGACAACGAGAACTTCTCCCCTTCTCCTACCTCTAGGTATTCCTCCAACCCCTTTCAGAGACCAAGAACCATACGAGGGGCAGAGGGACAGCGGTCCTAGGCCTCCCCAGGACCATGCAAGGGGTGGGGCTGAATGGTGCCATTGCTTGAACTGTAACCCTGCTGCCCGCTACTGTTCAAGAAGTGGCATAATGCCACACAGCTCTTTGAGCAGTACCAGAGTGCCCTGGTATTGTTCAAAGGGCAGGGGGAAAGCAGGGCTCTAGCTGCTGTCCGTGCCTTCAGGAACTGAGCTATACCTGAGGCCCGTGGCCAGAACACTGCATCTTGCGCATGCTCTAGCTGTGGGAATGCAGCTTCCTAATGCATCTGTCAAATGCCCATGGTGTAGCAACCCAGGCAGCGCTGCTGGGGGGAGCCTGCCCCCCAGCCAAAACACCTAGCAGGGAACAAGTACACTAACCAGCAGAACTGGAACTCTGCTGGCTGCTCAACTGGAACACATACTCCCTGCCTGGTCCCATCAATCAGCTGGCTGTCAGGACCCAACAGGAGCAGCCCCAGGTCCTGGACACAGCTACTCCCTTCCAACTTGTGCCAATTGGCTGATAAGATGCCAAAGGCACCCCATACCCAGTCCCTTAATCCTGGACCAGGCAGGAGGCAGCAATACTAGGTGCACTGACAATGCACTGCTGGGCAGACTATCAAGAACCCAGGCAACTCGCTCACACCCCCTCCCCCCATCCTTTCCCTGTATGCTTATTTTTTTGCATTGGGAAAAGGGTGCATTTCCCAACACAAATGTAACGCCTTTCATGGGCTGCTGAGTTGAAGGCAGCGTATAATGCTTGGCCACTTACCTGTAGTGTTTATTTTACTAGCCAATCCAGGAGGCAAATAGGAAGTGACAAGCTCTGGCCTAAAAATTAAACAAAATGTAAGACAGAATGCAATCCAGTATACGACAGGCAAGAACAGAACTGAAATATCTGCAAATTTGTTGGGATTCAGGAAAGCGCACAGTGGACAAAGTCTGTTTCCTAAAGATTTCTGCATCATAAAGCACAGGAGAGTCTCTCTATAATGTAATACAATGGTGGGCTCCCAGAGGGCCTGGGGCCTGTTGCCAAATTCCCAGCTACAGAGCCCCAGTGGGCACGCATGCCGACTGCATGAAACCCATGCGGCCACCACTAACCGTGGAGGCTCCCTGGCATCAGGATCCAGCCTGGGAGTTCAGGTTATTTTGACACCCATTATGTTATGTTTGACAGTGTTAAAAAAAAGTAAAGCTACATATTAAGGTAACTTACTTTTTGTATTTACTCATGGAAACAAACATCTTTAGAACACAAGACTATTGCTTTCCCCAAGGTATACGCTGCCTACTCACTTACATACCCAATTTAATGACATTTAAAAAAGGAACACCCGTCATTTTGGGAGAAAAAGTGCATGTGCAAAATTGTTCACTGTGCTTTATGAAAGCAAAGCTTTAGGTAGCACTTTGAGCCTAAATCCCCAGGATGATTTTTAAGTAATCTTAGAAATCAGCAGCAAAAACAACGCAAACTTACTTTTTAACAACAAATTTGATCTTGCCACTGCCACGGACAATTCTCTCAAGGCGTGGAATTCCAAACCACGTGGGACTTCGGAAAGGGATTCCTTCTGGCAAGCCTTCAACGTACAAGTACTCGGGGTTTGACTCAAATACAGGATAGGGAACTTTCACTGCCTCCGAAAGCCCTAGGGCTTGGGCTGAAAATAAAAATGCAATGATGATTTACAGGCTCAGAGGAGAGTCATTTCATTCCAGTTGTTAAGTTTAGCTAGTTTATTGCTGCAGCAGCATCTCTAATCAAAAATATAAAGCAAGCATGAAAGGAAAAGATGGAAAACAGCTTTTCCACCACCATTCCACGTCTTGGAATAACTGCCTGCAGCAAAGCTATGAGTCCAGGTCTGCGAAGTCTTATACTCTGCTCCCTTTATCAAAAAGTATGAAAGCACTGCACATATTTGCATATATATCATGCAGCCCCATTTTGCGGTTGAAGACGACTGAGGCATGAAGTGCCGTTGTAACTTGCTCAATTCTCAAAATACGCTCATTGCAAAATAAAGTTCAGAATTCATAACTCCCACACTGGTGGCTCTGATAATTTTAATGTTTGGTTTAATTTACTGTGCAACAGTATACCACTCCTTTTACAGGAGGCAGTTTTAAAACAGCATTATAAAGGATCCAGGTTTTCTGTTGTAGCATGAACTGAACTAATGTAGCTGATGTTAACATACAGTGTAATAATAGTGAAATATAACCATGTTATTCTTGTCCTGTAAGCAACTTGAAAACTCCATTTTTTATCCTTCTGCTTGACATAGGTGAATGAACTTTGCATAGCCTTTATGTATGAGTGTGTGTAAAAGGGTGAAAGGTGAGAGAATGGCAGAGACAGGAGGAGAAGATTTAGCTGTTTATGTAAGCAACAAGGTGCCAAATGTAAGTTACCAGTCAGTAAACTGATTAATAAATGGCTGAAAAATCCCTTTTAGGCCTAGGGCACAAAGAAGATAATGAGGAAAAGGAATGCACCTATCCTGTCAGATGGGCAGCAAGAACACTCCAAGGCTGAGATAAGCTGAAGGCAAAAGAAAGTCAACCGCAAAAACAGAAGCTGGGTATGGAAAAACCCCAAGGCACTGAAACAAAGGATGATGATCCCTATGAAAGAACACTTTGAAAATGCCAAATTGGGTGAGTCTCCTTCTCTACTGCTGTTTCATTGGAGCACAGATGCATCTGTTCACCCCACTCCAGCTGTTCTCTTCAAATCTTCTATCTTCAAGTCATCATCATCTACTCAATAAGACCAGGTTGGCCACCCTGGGCTGATATTGAGCAACTATTGCTTGTAACTATATCTGGTGTATGTGCAGATGAAATGGTTGTTTTGTGTGTGTGTACAATGATTTGTGTGTTTGTGTGAATGGTGAATTTCCCTTGCAGGCTGGCAGAGTTCCAGCCTGCAAGGGGCTGGTGGGAATGGGAGGAGGGTGGTCAGATGGGATGCCATTTGCATGTGCGTGCTCACACACACACAATGCAGCCAGGCAGCCTAGACAGCATCTCCCGCGGGTAAGTCAGGGGACAGAGAACTGAGGCCCCCATAGTGAGCAAGGGAATTGAGCAGGGCTGAGACGGGGTGGAGGCGCTGTCCGCTAGGGCAATATGTGGGACTTGGGGCCAGAATGCGCGGCTGCAGGGCTCAGGAGGCAAGTGGCAGAGAGCCATGGGTGGCTTGCGGGGGGGGGGGGCGGCAATAGGGGACGGCTGTCTCCCCACCACTGCACACATTCCCAGGGAAGGGTATGGGGGCCATGCCCCCCCAGATTTGTGCACAGGGCAGGCACAGACTGCCCTCTGTGGGCTTGGGGCTCCCCACCCTGAGGCCTCTGCAGCCTAGCGGGCAGCAGGTGGCATAGCTGGGTGGGAAAGGTCACTGTCACCACCAAAAGCCCCACACCACCATAGCGAGGCAGCCCCTGCCCTCCCAGCAGGAGTGGGGGTGGCGACACAGATTTGTGCCCCTCACTGCTGCCAGGCGGGCAGGGGGCACCTCCCTACAGTGGTGTGTGGCTCACACTGGGAGGCACCGAGCCTCCCTGCCTCACCAGATTTTGCCCACTCAGCTACAAAGGAAGCCTGCAGTGGGCTCCACTCCAGCTACAGACTCCCCAAGCCTCCACCCCAGCCGTGCCACCCCTGGGGGAAGGGGAGCCAGGCTCTGCACTCCATTGCAGGAGCCGCCATCTCCCACAGGCAGCAGCTGGGTCTTGGGCAGCACTGCTGCGGGTAGCAGGGGGCTGCATGCTTAGGTCCCTGACCCCATGGCACTATATATATTTTAATACATATTTTAAATCATGGAAAAAAAATGTGAATTTGGGTTTTCAGTCAGAGAGCTGGCATTTTTAAATCAGACAATTTGCAATTTTTAAACAGAGAAAACCAGAATCCTGATTATAAGACAGCTTAGCCAAGGTTGAACTTACCAAATTTCATATTAAATATTTCTTCCACTTGCTTCCTTAGTTTTGTAATTCTGACATTCCAATCTTCTTTGACTGAAATTCAAAAATAAATGCACGTTACTGATTTGTACCAGATTACTAGGAGAAAGCAGTGCTCCTAAGTATTTCTTTCATAGCTAGAATCTGTAAACCGTGTACGCAGATTTTTTTCCTACTCTCCAAAGCAAACAATCATATTTTTGTGCATAAGGGCTTGCACGTGTATTCCTTTGTAATGGCAATTGAAATGACATGCATAATCCCCTGCGTATACTGACTGCAACATATATTTTAAACGTGATTAAAAGTTTCAATCACTTTGTCCCAAGTGGGCAAATTTATCCTTCAGTGCCTTCCGATGCAGGAAGGAATTATTTTAGTAGCTTTGATACAGGTGAAAATGTTAATGGATTTCAGTACACAAAAATAAAAAAAGAAATCTTTAGAACAGAACACAAATATTTATGGAGCGTTTTGTTCTATATTTTGATTAACATAAAAAATCCTTTTCAATCCTACTTTTACTATAAATGAAAGTCACTGCCTAGAGAACCAGCCAGCTGCCCGCGTGCTAACTTAGACCCAAGGAGAAGGCAGCAGCAGGAAACAAGAATAAGAATTTCATATATACCCTTTCATTTTATTCCACAGACTGTATAATTCTATCACTTGATCATCACAACTGTTAAAGGAAGTTAACAGTCACTGAAGCAGCAAAGGTGCAAGTTTAACACAGGATTGAGGTAGGCCCGACATCACAAGTTAACAAATTATCTGACCAGTTCTACTTCCAATTCCTTCAATTACAAAAACAAGGAATGTTAATACTTGCCATCATTAATGGCACACATTAATTTTCCCCACATGCCCCAGTCTGTTACCACACATCTTTACAAGGCATTTGCACTGCTAGGGCTCTAACAGGGGGAACAGAAATATAAAAAAAAAAACACACTCTTTAGTCTCTTTCCAGCTCAAAAGGCACACGTAGCACAAAAAAAAAAAATCAAGTTGTTTGCAGACTCAAAGAGATATTTTACAGCCAAACAGACCCCATTGCTTTGATTTGCATTAGCTCAAAGCATACCTGGAGATTTAAAATATACACACATTCCCCCAACACACACACAAATACTGGCCTGGGCAGTACCTCCTCCTACTCGTCCTTAAATTACTTCACAGAACTAGAATCTCTTGCATTAAAAAACGAACAAACTGATATGAGTGTTCTGAAATGTAGTCTTCTTTAACAATAACTGTGACACTGATAGGGCAGATGTTTCCCAGGTATGCCTCAGGACTAAAGGCCAGGAAATAATTCTAGATCCAGTAGTTTTCATTGCATTGCAAGCCTAACATAACTTTTTTTCTGATCTCATTAAGTCTTACCTTATATGCCCTGGATACTAGCACAGGTAATGTTTTGTAAGTACTGACAGCACCAGACCTTTTCCTAGCAGCTGACGACAGATGTAGTAACCAGGGAGAAATCAGCATGTCATTCTGAACATTAATTGGTTGCTTTCTTAAACAGTGATTGCTGCTTACCAGTTCTCCCAGTATGATGCTAATCAGAGAGGGAATATTTTACTGATACCATTCAGACTTACTGTTACAGGTCTGTCAGCCTGCCAGTTATGTTGTACAGTAGAACAAATTGGAGCTGGCACCACTGACCTTATGATCCCAGCACATTTAATAGTCTTTAATAAATTAAATGGTGCAATGCTGCTGTCTGGAAGATCCTGCATCCCTTGCGGGTTTGCTGAGGCTAAGAGAATTCTATTCCTAAAGGTTCTCATTCCCAGCCCATCAGCAGGGCAGCTGAGCAGTAAAAAAAGTGCCACAAGCAACACGACTAACATGATTCAGTTCTCTCTCGCTCTCTTTTTCTGCATGGGTGAAAACACTTTTGGCTCCCCAAATCACACGGCACTTATCCAAAGTGTGTGCCAATGGAATGGAATATAAGAGGCCACAATTCTTAGTCCTGTGTTATAACCACTCAAGGGCTCACTTTCTTCAGTGAAACAGCCAGGTCTGAATTACATGCTGTATGTAGCAAGAAAATGATTAATGAACGTTTACGAACATCTGTATTGCCATTTCCAGGTAGTCTCCTTGCTTCAGGTATTTAAAAAAAAGAAATCCTGAAAGATTTATCTGGATTTTTTCCTTCACTCAAAGAGGTCAACAGAATTCCATAAACAATTAAGGTGCTGATCCAAAGTCCAACCAAGACGGAAGCTCATTGATTTCAGTGGGCTTTTGAACAGGCTCTAATAGTTCTTCTTGGCCACTGAAGTTTTCCTACGTCTTAAAACAGATCCGTTTCGTTTCGAATGCCCTCACAGATTAGCTAGCCACCATCCGTGATATTTTATAACAGTGAGAGCCAGCCTTTTCGGCACATACGCCACAAATTAAGCCCCGTGTCCCCCCTGAGTGCCACACCGATCTCCCTTCCCCTGCCTGATCTGTTGTTCTGGTTTCTGCTCCCTGCCCTATATGTGGCTTGCTACCTGCTCTCTTCCCAATCTGTCACATGCCACACACGTAGGTTGTGCCACTTACGGCAACTTTCCACAGGCTGATCATCCCTGCTTTAGAAGATCTTCAATTATGTCCACGTTAGTCTTTTAGAAACCTCACAGAAAGTACACCAGCTCCCCCATCACCATCGCACCAGGACATACTCCTCAAAATTTGCTTCCTGTTTCCAGCAGCTCCCCCTAACCCCCAAGCTGTCCCCATGCACCCTGTTAAGCAAAGCAAAGAAGGTTAAATTTCCTTTCAATTAAAATATATTTATCAAAGAGAGTGGAAAACATCTTGTAGGTAATTTCTAATCAAACAAGACATTAAAAACTCCTTCAAGTTAAGTGCAGGTACATTAGTTAAAAGAATTTCTCCCATATTTATACAGGTTGAGCCATTTTTTCATGCACAGACTTCATGAAAAATCATTCTGGTGGTGGTATTCCATGATACAGGTGTTTGGATATGATATAGGGAAAGCTAAGGAGAAAACTTGCATGCAATATGCATCTTACCTGGCGTATTTGATCTTGGCTGAGTAACCTCTGTTGGACTGAGAGTTAGTAGTTCTGGCCTGTAATTAAATGCAGATAACCCAACTGTTCATGCAGTTTCTAAATGATAAGCTCTTTCTGTCTTATGAATCTACATTTTGATTTTAATATTACTTATTTCACATTGCCATCAACCCAGGCAAGGTACTATATGCATATAGAAGATTTCTGCCTGAATCTGACACCAGTATTCTTTGTAGTTCACAAATACTTGGCTTTACAAAGCTGAATGGTTGCTTTGTGATCTCCTCGGTCTCTTGCTTTTTTCATTTTATGCCTTAAAATGGTCACCCACCTTTTGATTATAAATTTTATTCGGTTGCCCACTTGAATGATTTTCTCCAGCCGAGGAATTCCATACCAGGACGGGCTCCTAAATGGAATGTTCTCAGGAAGACCTTCTACGTAGAGATCGTTGGGGTGCGCTTCAAACTTCTGATACGGTACAGCCTTAGGCTCAGTACTGCCCAGTGCCTCAGCTGTCGGAACAAAAATTCAACAAGATGAATCCAATGACTGATCACTTCAGATCATATTTCTATAAAAATGCTGCCACATTTCTGGGCCATTATGTTAATTAATGCTTGAAGATGTCACAGCACAAAACATTCAAATTCACTGAACTCCAAAGTTGTAAGACACTCAAAACGGGATGGTTCAACAAGGGAGACTCTCTCATTCTTCCCGAGAAAATCAGGGCAATCAGCTAGTTATTTCAGGTACCCGCATGCGAACGCACAGAGCCTGAGAAACAAGCAGGAAGAACTGGAAGTCACTGCAATCACAGAACTAACATGACTGGAATAACAAAGATGTGGTGGGATAGCTCGCATGACTGGAGCACTGTCATGGATGGGTAAACTGTTTAGGAAGGACAGGCAGGGGAGGAGGAGGAAAAGATGCTCTGTAGGAGTTGCACTGTATGAAGCTGGAGATAGGTCTATTGAAAAAAAGTCTCTGGGTTAGGGTCAGAGGGGAAAGCAACAAGAGTGATGTCATGGTGGGTGTCTGCTGTAAACCACCAGACCAGGAGGAAGTGGTGGGTGAGGCTTTCTTCAAACAGCTAGCAGAAACTTCCCAATCACAGGCCCTGGTTCTCCGAACAATCCAATGCAGGGACTGGCTGGCTAAGCAGCAGCACTGCAGAAAAGGACCTGGGGGTTACAGTGGAAAAAGAAGCTGAAAAGGAGCCAAGAGTGTGCCCTTGTCCCCAAGGCTGCTAACGGCACACCAGGCTGCGTTGGTAGGAGTGCTGCCGGCAGATCAAGGGAAGCAATTATTCTCCTCTACTGGACACTGATGAGGCCACATCTGGAGTACCGTGTCCAGTTTTGGGCCCCACACTACAGAAAGGATGTAATCAGAAAGAGTTCAGCAAAGATCAACCAAAATGGTTAGGGGGCTGAGGCACATTACTTCTGAGAAGAGGCCTAGGGAACTGGACTTATTCAGTTTAGAGAAGACTGAGAGGAGATTTAATAGCAGCTTTCAACTACCTGAAGGGCGGTTGGAAAGAGAATGGCGCTAAACTGTTCTCAGTGGTAGCAGATAACCAAACAAAGAGCACTGGTCTCAAGTCGCAGTAAGGGAAGTTTAGGTTAGATATCAGGAAACGATCTCTCACTAGAAGGGCAGTAAGATACTAGAACAGGTTACCCAGAGAGGTTGTGGCATCTCCATGCTTGGAGATTTTTAAGACTGGGCTAGATAAAGCCTGGGCTGGGATGATCTAGTTGGAGCTGGTCCCACTTTGGTCAGGAGGTTGGACTAGATGACCTTTAGACATCCCTTTCAACCCTAATTTTCTAAGATTATACACTTCTACTTTCTCGTATTATTTTCATCAGGTAGCCACCACGCAGTACCAGATTAATATCAATGGACCTGCATGGGGGGAGTCAGAGCAAGATGTGGCCCAGAGTTTGAAACTGTTTTAATCCAGTACCACACTAAGTTTTGTTTTGGGGTTTTTTATTCATTCTTTATTATTACAGAGCTTCATGTTCCTTAAGCTGGAGGAAACAGTCATCTGCAAGTATTCCAATATTCATCTTAGGAGGGCCACAGTGAATGAAGTGGCACATAAAAGTAACTTGAGTACTGTGAATTTGCCCCAAACAAACAAACAGAGCACTAAAAAAAAAAAAAAAAAAAAAATAACTCTCTCTCTCAACTTTCAGAATTTCAAGCATCTGCAAAATTTTCCTTCATCAGAAGTCTCATACATTTGTATCCCCAAAGGGCCTTCTTACCCAAGACGGGTATCTACCCAAGACGAAATCTACCTACAAAAAATAAAATCCATGCAAAAAAGCTAAAATTCTAGAAGTGCACTTACCAAATTTCTTACAGAAAAGCTGATCTACCATCTTTCTTAACTTGGTGATTCGGGCATACCATTCTTCTTTCACTATAATAAACAGTAACACAGAACAAAAGATAGCATTCCTTAATTGTGTCCATTAATTACAAATCTGTAAACTCAAGTGACAACAAGAACTGTATTGTTATTAGTCTTCCCAACCCCAAGGGTTTCATGAGACTCATAATATTCATACTAATTGAATTATAAACACAACAACAACAGAGGACAATTTTAAGCATCACGCAAATAAAAATGGAAGTATGTTTAGCATACTGCCAACTATTAAGTCCCTATTAACAACTCAGATTTGGTCTTGCAAGGAGGAGGGCTGTTAACAATTTTAGGGCAGTTGGTAACTTAGCGCTGCAGGAGAGATGGTATACCTGCGTACAAATAGTCAAGGATGAAACAGTATCCTTAACTCTTACCTGCTTTACTTCTTTTAGACCCTTAGTGTTTGGTTTTAATATAACTTCTTAACATTTGATTTTCTTTACATAGTAGCCTATGGCCACATGGAACATATGTAAGGTGCACCATTATAGTGTCTTAGTCCTAGGCTCCCTGCACTCTGGAATTCTCCAATATTTATTATTAAAAGTTCTTTATTCATTCTCTTAGTTCACAGTTGACAAAAAGCATCTGGGAGATAGGAGGACATATCTAGATGCTACCACAACTTCAAGCTGCAAATTAACTTTTTTCCACAGCAAGCCCTACTCTTCCAACTTTTGAGAAAAAAATCAATTGGAAAAAAATGAATGCAGATTATAATGAAGATACATGTTTGTATTCTTGATTGAGTGACAATTTCTAGCAACAGATTTAAGAATGGAAGCCAAAGAATGTGACAGCATTTTTTTTAGAATATTTACTGGCAAAGAAAGAATGAAATCGTAAAAAAAAATTTAAAGCTTTTGCACAGCCATTACATAACCAGCATCCGCATTATTATATTTTCCTACCTAACCCAATCTCGCATTTTTAGTGTACACAACATTAATTCAAATTTACTAGGCCCCAAACAATTCTCTATCCACTAAAATGGCATAAGTGTAGAAACTAACATCTTTTATTTCTACTTTCTAAACTTAACCAGGCGCTTGCCTTTCTAGATCAAATACCGTGAATAACTAATAACAGTTCCAAAAATATTTCCAGGAAGAGGACTTGGAGAACTCTCTACAGTATGTGATAAGCAAATAATACCATGTACCAGAGCATGAAAGACGCTCAAGGTGCAAACCACTCAGACCTCCAAAAGAGGGCTCAAAAATGTATGTCTTACCTCCTGCAACTGGTTTGTCCAATGGTACATCTTCCCGTGTTGAATTCAAAAGCTCATGTCTGAAAGATTTTTTAAAAAGTAAATAGAACTATTTCTTACAGATGTAGGTTTAAAAAACACATTCAGGATCTCCCACTTCTTTCTAATTAATACCAACACTGGTTTACTCCTAAAGCTTCTGGCTATATCCACGACAAACTTTTTGTTAAAATATGCTGATTTTGTCAAAGGAGATAGGACAATTTCTAAAGTCCAGAATATACTCCTCAGTCACTTCCATGGAAATAGAGGAAGAGCTCCAAAATAAATATCCGACTTTTTGATCTGAAAATGGATATTTTACCACAATGATTGGTTGCAGATAATTTCAAATACCTTTTGTTCCACACTAGAACAAAGGCAAACACTAAATACAAAGAAGAACTGCTGTTCTCTACCTCACTCTAGTTATCAAACATAATAGAAGATGTAAAAAAAGTAAAAGGATTGCTGTACAGTATTAAAATCTTAGGACTAAAGACCATTTTGGAGAAAAACAGGGCCCCTGGCACATTTTAAATTTAATGCCGCAACGAGATCCATTCCCCAATGCCAATAATTACACCTCCTGCCATGCCACCTGTGCCAGGAAGGAAGCACGATTCCTGGGATTGGGGAAAGCCATCCCTACTTAACTTGCTACACTGCAGATTTCACTAAAAAAAAAAAAAAGCACAATCTGGGATAGTCTGCATAATTAACAAAAAAATGTAATAAAGCGGGAGCCAGCAATCCTCACCATCAGGCAGGGGAAGCCAATCCTCCTAATGAGGATTTGGGTCCATCAAATTAAATTAACTTCTACACAAGACCCTACTTGACAATAACGTATTTGTGACATCACACCTATGCTTAGATAGTGCTTACAAGGCTCAATAACTAGGCTGAGCACACTAGAAATTATTACTTTGTAGCTCTGGCAAGGAGTAATCTACTGCTAGAAACCAATAAATCAAATTCTCAAGGACAGATCACACTATATACAAAATAGTGGTAACAAATGCAAAGCTCCTTACTTCTTAATCACAAACCGTATCCGCTCCTTTGCCAGTAGTATCCTCTCAAGACGAGGGATCCCATAGGTGGAGGGCCGTCGGAAAGGAATTCCTTCTGGCAATCCTTCTACATACAAGTCTTCAACATGCGATTGAAAGAGCGGATATGGGATAGACACTGGACCTTTTGCTTTTATAGCTTGAGCTTTAAAAGTAAAGGAAAAATAAAACCATTAGCGTACCTACCTAACCTATTTGCTTGGCACCAGCTGAAACAACGCAAAAGCAAGCATACAGGCATTAAATACCTTTTTATCCTTCTAAATGTATCACTATTTTGCAATTTATTCTTTTAACATATGCTTTAATAAGAACCTCTCCAATTCACAGTAAACTATGTAAAAAGGTGGTGGGGGGGGGTCTCCTCTTTCCCCAGACTCTCAGTGAAGGGTTTATGACAGACAGCACCTGTTCACATTACTTTGGATTTGCGTACTAATACATCGTGCAGTGTCAAGAATTGTTCTATGTAGCAGCTATGAACTTTGGTAGTGTGCTTATGTGTGTGCCAGAGTCAAAGTTTTTAAAGTGAATTAATAAAGATCCACTGCAGGAAAGAAATTAATTAGCTGATAAGGCAATCAAAATGTTTCCTTTATGGCCAATGCCAAAAAAAGGGACTGTAGTAATGAAATCTGAAAAAAAAAAAAAGTGAAAAGCAAACAGTGCATTCACATAGAAAATCTGCTCAATACGCTTTTACAAATAGGACATTAATCACATCCACATACCCAACTGGTAAACACTGGAGAACAGTGTAATGGTCTGCAAATGCCAAGTGGGCTAGTTGCTTTGTATTCATGATGGTATGCTGACTAAACCCCAACCAACCAGAACTCTGTTACTGACTGATCTGTAAATAGTTTGGTGAGTTTTATTGCGTGTGGTCTTGCTATGAAAATTGGATGCAAGTTAATTGAGGAAGCTTTGAAAATACACAACTCGGTTCATTTAGATCTGGGTAGTTCACACCCCATTTAAAATTGACACTGAGTTGCTGAATTAAGATCAGGCCACTTATTTGTGGCGCTTTGAATGCAAAACGGCACCACTTTGATTAGCTGGAGCTTACTGGCTATCCTATGCAACTAAACAGAGAAGTGACACCCTTTGCAGTAAAAACACACACAGCAGACAGACAGCTGGTGCACCTCACTTCAGCTATTTGCTATGCTGTGAAGACCACTGGATACTCTGCAAATCCTCATTTTCACAGGGGGATTAAGGAACCTAACCCTGCGGAGAACACGGGTTCTACTGTTCTTCATGCATTAGTCCTACATTCTGATGCAAGTTATAAAAATGTTACAAAAAAAACTGCACTCTAATTAAAAACACAGTTCTTACAGGCCCTAGCTGGAGTGAGGCAAATTCGGTAAGATTCAAGGAAACAGAACACATCGCATATTCACAACTAAATTCCATAAAGTGAGTCTCATGCCCTTCCCTGAAACTCTTCATGTGCATTAATCCGTCACAAGGGAAGATTTATTAGACTTAGAGCTCTGCCAAGTTATCCAATGCTGAGGCCACAGTGCTCAGGATGTAGGACTAGATAAGTGCTGAGAAGCATCGCAAACCCAAGACAAGGAAGGATGCAAGTTTGAGACCAGATGGCCACAGGGAAGCAGAGAAGGAGGGACGGGGATATCACCAAATTCTGAATCACTACACAGCACCAAGAAAACCAACTTTTGAATGCCCACTGGAATGCTGTCTAAATAAATAACAACAGATATATGTTTTTACAAGTGAAAATCTTCATTTTTCTTAAATCAGTTAAATGTTTTAGCAGATTCTCTTATCTCCAGACAGAGCAAAGATACTATCAGCAGTGGAGTCTGAAGCGACGCTTCCCAAGTTTGAAAGCTTACAATGCTTGGTACTTAAATACTAGTAGATTTTCATTTTTTTTAAATTAAATTAAAGTCCACATTCATCAACCAAGGAATTGTTTTAACACTGCCTTTCATGATTACATTTATTTTACAGCAAAGCACAAAAAGATAGGTCTATCATTTACTACAGAGAGTTTAGC